TTCTCACATCTGTTTTTGCTCTTGATGCAAAAAAAGTTTTAAAAAAAACAAAACAAAAAAAACCCAGTCTGAAACACTTCCAATTGTGCAACAAACTAGGAGAAAATTATTTCTTGACCCCAGGATGGCAGTCAGAAATCTCATTGGATCAAGAAGCTATTAACCCACTAATTCAAATCTATACGTCTGTAGATTATGTTTTTGCAAGTATTTATCCCATTGCTGTTTAATTCCTTAGTGACCGGACTGTTTTTCCATTTTCTTACCGTTAACCCCTTAAGGACGGCGAGTGTGCTATGCTGTCCTTGGGGACCTGGCTCTAAACGCCGAGGGGCGGCATAGCACGTCCCCGCCGTCATTTCTACTTACCCAGCCGCCGGCGATTGCAGTGTGGGGACTCACCTGGCAGCCCGGGGAGTCCCCCTCCATCCATTTTGGCCAACTTGGGCCATGTGATCGCGAGGTCCTTGCGAAGACCTCTCGATCACATTGACGGCATAGCCGTCCATGTCAGTGCAGGCAGGGGGGAGTGCCTGTAAAAAAAAAAAAAGTTAAAACAGTTTAAAATTAAATTATATATACTTAGATCATATATATAGATATAAATATCAAAATACACATAGAATGATATTGAGTAAATATATATATATATATATATATATATATCTATATATATAATTATCATTATATATATTTATATATACTATAAAAAATATGTAAATACGTAAAAAATATATATATATGTATATGTGTACATTTGTTCTAACTGTATTTTAAAATGAATATATATATATATATATATATATATATATATATATATTGATATCAAAATACATGTAGAATGAAATAATATATATAAGTATATACGTAGATATCACTATATATACCTATATATAAATAAAATTTTTTAGAAATTCTCTCTCTCTCTCTCTCTCTCTCAATCTCTCTCTCTCTCTCTCTCTCTCTCTCTCTCTCTCTCTCTCTCTCTCTCTCTCTCTCTCTCTCTCTCTCTCTCTCTCTCTCTCTCTATATATATATATATATATATATATATATATATATATATATATATAAAAATAGATGTATCCCCTGCACTCATGCTTACAAAATAGTCCAATGCCGGGCGCACCACCAGAGCTCCAAGATATGTAAAAAACCAACAAGAAGAAAGGCTGCTCTCCGGACTTTAAAACAAAAAAGTTTATTCAAATAATATTAAAAAATCACGACCAACGTTTCGGTCCCCGTTCAGGACCTTCCTCAGGGTCAAAAATAGGACAACAAGACAAATTGGCGATAAGTACAATTAGCACTTTGCTATTTCCAAATTTGTTTTTTCAAAATTAACGCAAGTTACATTGTAACACTGATATCTGTCATGAATCCCTGAATAACCCTTCACATGTATATATTTTTTAAAAGAAGACAACCAAAGGTATTAAACTTGGAGTATTTTGACTCTTTTCATGCAACCATTGTACCACCAATATATGCCATATTAAAAATAATAATAATAATTGGTGATTTTTATGAGACACATAGCAATTTAAGAATACATGTACAGAGAACTTTAAGGGTTACTGCCAAAGAACACCCCAATATGTGTTCAGCAACATCTCCTGAGTACAGTTACACCCCCCCCATGTATAGGTGTGTTGGGTTCTCTGGAGGCTAAAAGACCTTATTTGGACGGTGCGCATTCCAGTTCTCCAACTTGTAATTTTCACAGCATGCACCCATGTCCTATTTGGGACATTTTTGAAGCCGGACAATGTAATTTACCCCCATCAAACCATATATTTTTGGAAAGTAGACACCCTAGGGCAAGCATGTCAAAATTGTGGCCCACAATGGACATCTTTGCGGCCCGGCGAACCGCGAGTGCATGCTTAGTGTTCAAGCAGAGTAGGCACCTGCTTTCTCCACATTGCACATGCCTACTCTGCAAAAAGTTACTTAGCCGGGGAGGAGAGGTTCCTGGCGGCAGCGAGGGACCTCCGCCTTCATGCTCCTCACTGATCCCTTGTGCGTGCCGTCCGCAGTGATGCCGGAGAACGGAATATGACATCATATTCCAGCACCCGGCATCACTAAACTGCGCACGAGGGAGCAGTGAAAAGCAGGAAGGGGATCTCCAGATAGAAGAGGGCCCACAGCAGCTCAAAAATGTGTGGAGCAATAAATAAAATGATGTGTACATGTGTGTGAATGTGTCTGTCAGTGAGTATGTGTGTGTGTCAATGAGTATGTGTGTGTGTCAGTGAGTGTATGTGTGTCTCTGTGTCTGTCTGTGAGTGTCTTTCTGTTAGTGTCTGTGTGTGTGTGTCTCAGTGAGTGTGTGTTGGTCAGTGTTGCATTGGCTGTGACTGGACAGAGGAGTACCTGGAGGTGCATGGAGGCACGCAATGCCACGTCACATTCCGACATGACAGCAACATGCTCCATCTTCACAGGGTTTCAAGAAGTAGCGGGAGGATCCTATTTGGTACAGGGTGTGGACGACACCATTTGGGGTATACCAGAGGCCGGACTCCGGAGTCGCATACTTGCAGTGGCAATGTGAGTGGAGTCTGCTTGTTGGCTAGAGGTTACCTGGGGGTAGTGGGATTTAGTAAAAGGGGGGGACTGGGATTTAGTAGAGGGGGTGCTGTGGTTTAGTAGAGGGGGTGCTGTTTTTTGTTTTTTTTAAATACACTGTATTTTTCAAAATAAACCTACGTGTCTACGAAAATGTAAGGGTTTGGTTTATTTTGCGGCCCACATCAATTTAAACCTTGTTTATGTGGCACATGCTAGACTTTAAGTTTGACATGCTTGCCCTAGGGTAATTCAAATGGTGGTATTTTAACACTTTCCATGCACTAATTCTACCACCAGTTTTGTCAAACGTTTGGGTAGTCATTTGTTTGCGTTATTTTTCTCTCACATTGTACTTTAGGCATGGATTCTCAGTTCCTGTTATTTGTTACTGACAAAGAACACGAACACCCCAATATGTGTTCAGCAACATCTCCCAGGTACAACAGTGCCCCCAATGTACAGGTTTTATGGGTTTTTGCAAACTTACAGGTGTCAAATGTAGGGCTTTCCCCTTTTCCATGTTTGCATATTGAAATTTGCCAGATTGGTTTGATGGGCCTATTTTGAGACCGTCTAGCAGCCCAGAAATGAAAATTAACCTCATCATGACATATCATTTGTAAAAGTAGACAACCAAAGGTCCAGTCTTATGTAGTAGCCACTTAGTCACAAACGCCCATATATATATATATAATGTGTGTGTGTGTGTGTGTGTGTGTATGTGGGTGTGTATATATATATATATATATATATATTTGTGCTCGGAATTTAAATACGTGATGGATAGTAACTGTGAGCAAAGTTGGTTGTGGTGTGCCGAAACCAACGTACGAGTGGGCCTGTAAATAAAAGAGGGCCCACCAAGGATAATGTAGTTAAAACAGGGTGTAGGTGGGTGGGGACAATCAGCTGAGCGGCAGCGGTGAGTAGGGGCTGGGAGCTTAAGTAGGGGACTTACTCCTCCCACAAATTCAGGCCTAATGGCCTTTCTACTTGTGCTCGGAATTTAAATACGTGATGGATAGTAACTGTGAGCAAAGTTGGTTGTGGTGTGCCGAAACCAACGTACGAGTGGGCCTGTAAATAAAAGAGGGCAAAAAGATAAATTCGAGAAAATACACACTTTATTGCATTTTACAAGACCAAGTTTCTGAAAGCTTGGCGAAGCTCTTTCTCTGGTTGCGGAATATATGCGTTATATATGGAGGATTTCCATCGCCCGAGCCTTTTGATGATGTGGACCGGTGCGTTTGTGCTTGAGGCTGCTGAGGCGGCTCCTATGCGGAAGGAGTGCCCGGAGAATGCAGCCGGATTGTGTCCGAGCTTAGATAACAGGGTTCTGACATGTGACATCAATTTTGCCGTGGTAAGCGGGTGCCCTTGTAATGTTAAGAGCGGAGAGTCTGGCAGGTGAGTGCGAAAAGTAGACCGTAGTTGGTCGAGAACTTTCACCGGACACCAGGCATTATCAGTAGGGAAGAGAGGAATTATTGTAGGATGTATTGACCGGTTGGTTTTAGTGGTAGGGATAGAGAGGAGGTAGTGATCCTCTACCTTGGTGAGGTGTGAAGTTTTAAGGCATTGTGCGATATCTCCTTGACAAATCACTGTGAACTCTCTAGGTCTGAGAAAACCGTAGAAAGCGAGATATATGGCAGATTTTATCACCGTATTGGTGTAGCTATCAAATGGGGCTGTGTCAAGGAGATTGCTAAGAGACCTGAAGATAGGCCCGTCTATGGGTAATCTAGTGCTTGCGAGTGGTGGTGAAACCTTAGATATACCTTTCAAGACCTTTTTATGGGGTATGAAGACAAAAAGGGGGTGCTGTTAGGAAAATTGGTGAGGCTGTGGTGCTGAACCCCGGTGAGGTAAAGTTTAATGGTGTTGTGTGACAGATTAAGGTGTAGGTGGCAGAAAGAGGCAAAAGACACCATGGTTTGGATGGAAAAGTCACCTTGTAGCCCGAATTCTGCAGTGAATTTATTAAATATGTTAAGTGCCCTATTGTAAGTGATAGCAGTGTTGGGTGATAATGCTTGGTGAGTGAGTGATCTAGCGTGAAGCAAGAGTGTGCTTAATCCAATATTAGTTCGTGAAACCGTGGTGTCCTGGATGGCTGATGGTGAGCTGCTGGGAGTGCCTGAGAAAATGCCTGGAATCGAGAACGAGAAAGAGCGTCAGCGGCGGTGTTGTGAATACCCGGGATGTGAGAACATACTAAGTGAAACTGATTGGATGCTGCCAGCCAGGTCAACTTGCGAATCAGCCGCATGATGGTTAGGGATGATGAGCGCCCTTTGTTAATAATATCGCAAGCTGCCGAGTTATCTGAGTAGCATTTTACTGCCTTGCCGGACCAGAGATGACCCCAGGTCATGGGGTAAATTTCAAATAGGGTTGAGGTTTCCCTGAATCCTGGCAAGGCATCCGTCTCAGTGGGCCAGTGGCCCCTAAACCAGTGGTTCCCGAAAATGGCTGCGAAACCGGTGTTGGCTGCTGCGTCCGTGTGGATGATGGGTGAAGAGGTGGAGAGAGGGGGGATAAACATGGAGATGCCATTCCAGTCTTTCAAAAACTTCCCCCACATAGCCAAGTCAGCCTTGGCGTGGGGGTCCAAAGAAACTGTGCCGGAGTCCGGGACTCCATGGAGCAGGCAAAGAAGTCTGGAAATAAAAGACCTTCCCTGCGGAATGATGCGCATGGCGAAGTTCAGAGATCCAAGAAGGGACTGAAGTTCTCTCCTGGTGCAAACGTCATTCCGCAGGAACGTGTCTATCTCCCCTCTCAATCGTGAAAGTTTGTCGTGTGGAAGGCTAGCTCTGAGTTTGACAGAATCGAGCTCTATGCCTAAAAAGGTCAACTTTGTAGTGGGTCCTATAGTTTTGGCTGGGGACAAAGGGACTCCAAGTGTGGAAAAAAGTGCGGTAGTACTATTGATTGCTGTGGGTGTTGATGACCCTGGCTCTATCAGTAGAAAGTCATCTAGATAGTGAATAACGGAGTGACACCTGATGACGTTCAGAAGCAGCCAGCATAGTGACTCTGCGAAAATGTCGAAAAGTTTGGGGCTGCTTCGCGAACCAAAAGTGAGTCGTGTTGAGAAGTAATAATACCCTCGCCATTTAACACCGTGTAAGTGCCAGAGTGAGGGGTGTATGGGCAGTAATTTAAAAGCGTTAGTGATGTCTGTTTTGCTGAGCCAGGGTCGATTACCAGATGTCATGATGGACTGTATGGCGTCGTCGATGGTGACGTACTGCAGAGAGAATTCGTCTGCTGGAATGAGTGCGTTTATGCTTGGAACAAAAGAGGAGTGCGGTGCAGATAAATCGATAATGAGACGTTTTTTATTAGAATATTTGTGAATAGCAATACCAATAGGGTTAGTGCGCCAGGAGGAAAACGGTGAAGAGGTGAAAGGACCGATCATGAAACCGTTTGTGGTTTCTGCGGAAATGAGAGTGTCTACAGCGACTGGATCTAAACGTGCAGACTGGAGATTAGGACATTCTAGTGTACCTGGGGGAATGGCTATTATGCCTGTGTGAAACCCTTGTGAAAAACCTGTGGTGAGAAAATCCACTAAGTGCCTGCTGGGGTGACACCTTAGATAAAAAAACCAGGTTGTCGATATTAATGTCGGTTAGTCATTTGTTTGGTGACAACCTGGCTGGACACATGGTCTTGGTATGTGCCCTGAAACATATGGAGCAGATGTGCAATAGTCTACAGGCGCTGAAACTGCAGGAGCCTGCGTTGAAATTATTGCACACCTGTGCTTTACCTAAAAAGGAGATGGGCCTACCCAGCTTATCCCGGAGACCACCCGCTGGCTTGTGAGGGGTGAAAGAGGAGTGAGGTGTGAACGTGGGGTGAGGGGTGAGAGTGGAGGTGGTGGGATCTGGTTCGACGGGACATAAGTCCGCCATGTGGGATGTGGAATTACAGATGGCACAAGCCAGGGGCCTGAGTCCGGCGAAGTGGCGACAGAAAAGTTCAGTGTCCATCTGACCCCAGTTCATTCTAATGTTGAACTGCTTGAGATGGGTCGCCGCCTTCGCTGAGACTGACTTGTGGTAGTCATAGAAGGAAGAGCCCCCGTACTTGATGCCTAGATCCACTACCTTGTGGAGATAGAGATCTAGCTCTTCTCTCCTATGGGGATACACCGTGCAAATGACGTCGCGGTATATCCCGAAAGCTATCACAAACTGTGGGATAGACAATTTTTTATTAAGCCTGGGATCCCTCGTTTTAAGCACAACAGAGATGTCACCATAATTGTATGCCTTGTTCTCGAGTACATCCTGAGAGGCTATGAGTAAAGACACCAGACACACATCCTTCCCGTCAAGGATATCTTTCCTGATAGAATCTGGGACGGAGTGTGCTGGTGACTCGAAAGGTGTGATGGCTGTGCCAGGTGCTGGAGGGGGGAGTATAGAGGGACATGAAGGTATGGCAGGTACAGCCGTGGTAGAGACTGGGACTACGGTGTTAGTACCTGAGGAGGAGATGGCGCTCTCCACCTTAGACAGCCTGCTATTGAGGGCCTGTAGATTGGCCAAGATATCTGCCAGGGTATCCTGGGTGGCCGTGCTGTTACTTGGTGGTTGTCCTTGAGAGCTAGTTCCCGGCCGAGGCTCGGGGACTTGGTGGGTAAGCAGCCTGTAAAGTTCTGCCTTTCTAGCTGTGGCCGGAAAGGGGATTCCCCTGAGCCTAAGCTCGGCTGTGATTTTGGGAATAGTCCATGCTCTCAAGGACGTGGGGGTTGAAAGAGTGAGTGATTCGCCTGGAGACACGGGTCTGATTGGCGTGAATGGTGCTTCTTCTGTCAGTTCTTCGGTTGGAATTGGTTCTTGGGACATTCTAAAAAGGAATGATTATGTGAAAGATATATTAGAAGGGGAGTGAGGTAAGAAGGGGGGGGTATGGGGAGTGGTGTGTCTTGAAGAACTGGACTTTAATGCTAGATGCCGAGGCGAAAAACTTAACTATTGAATGACTGGATAGGTGAGGCCCTGCTAATGCCAAATGGCGATGAGAGGCTCTACCTATGATTTGGCTTATGACGTAGGTGCCACAGACGTGGTGGCGGGAAGTTGGCCTCTCGGTGACGATAAGAGAAATCAAAACGTGTGGCCGTGACAGGTGAGGCCCTAACTAGAGCCCTATAGTAAGGCATGCGAGGCTTATAACTATGATTTGGGCGTGGGGCCGTACCTCCGTGTTGAGGTGGGGTGGGGGTGGTAGGCCTCGCGGGATCAGATTTCCTGATAGGGTGGGCTAAGGCATTAGCCTGTGCCGTATAGCCAGTTCGATAGTATGCTAAAGGGTAAAGTTAGAGGACTGGAATGGTGTGTGGATACTAACCTTGACTGGTCGCAAATGGTATCTGGAGCCTCCTGGTAAGTGTAGAGAGTCTTGTCTTAAATGTTGTCTTTGAGGAAGAATCCTGGGGGTTTAAGACAGATGTTGATGTGTTTATACGTATCGTGATGTCGTATGAATAGTATAGGGAGAAGGTTTGTTAGGGGCACGACGTGAGATCCTGCATTGAGGGATCTGGGAGGTTTAGGTGTAGGAATGGGATGATTTTGGATATGAGTGAGAAGGCAGAATGAGGCCTTGGGGTAGCGAATGGACGTACTTGAGTAAGGATGTAAGTACCTGAAGGTATGGCTGAGTACCGTGTCAGGATTTGGTGTCTTCTTGAGCCTGGTGGCCGTATGACCGAAAGTCTGTGTAGACAAGTAGTAAAGAGATAACGTATCCTGGGCGTAAGCCTGAGGGAAGGTAGTAATGGAGTTGAGACCACGTGAGGTCTAGTATTGAAAAGAGAGTGAACTATACCTTTGTTTAAAGTACAGAGCTTGTTTAATCGTGGCAGGTTAACTGCGTAGAAACGGTGGAAGCTTAGATTAATACAAGGATCTAAGGGTTTAACCAAGAAAAATACCATAGTTAGCAATAGATGTGAAGATAATTGATAAAACCTGATAACTCAAGGTGATAAAACCATACCTGTTCCTGTAATAAAAGGACCTTGAAATAACAACTTTAATGCAGAAAAGCAAGAGACCGATGCAATCTGTAAAAGCCAAAAGATGTGACAGCGTGATTTATGTGCAAGGAATAGTACGGATTATGTGTAAAGGGTATAACTTGTAAATAGTTTTTAGAAAGACTTATCTGAGTGTTATTAGGAAAGAGTGTTATAGCTTGAATTTAGACACGTATGAAGTTATGAACCGTGGTGAACATAATGTTTATAACAGAAAAATACTTTAAATGGTTTAACAAGGTAGAAAAACACAGGGCTGGTAGTTAACCATATAATGTAACCGCAAACTCATATGAAGGAATAAATAATAGTAGGACTGTGATTAGAACTTATGCCAGCTTATCTTAAAAGAATAGAAATAACCGAATGTAAATTAGTAAGATGGTGTACGTGAATTAACCATACGAATAGGTTGATGCTGAAATAACCGAACGGAAAAGTGAATACAGATATTAATGAGCTTAAACATGAAATATTTATTCGGTTGTTTCCGTACGAAAAAGAATAAAACGATAGCGAAATGAGCCGAACGTTCGTGCGTTTTTTGGCGCGAATGGAGATATAAACGAAAGCGTGTATTCGTGAAAATGCGAAAGAGGGAGCCTACCCCTACGTTTTTAGGCCCGAACGGCGGGGAAAAAGCGAACGCTAATTCCCACGCCTTGCTTACGTGAACGCGCCGGTCTCGTGACCGGAAGTCAGGTACCTCGACCGGAGGGAAACGGAGTGGAAGGGCCTCGGACGGACGGAGGATTGCACAGGGCGTCTGGCTGCTGGAAACAGGTACAGTTCTGGCGGGAAGCTGGACCGGAAGTGCTGGTTGCTAAGGACAATCAGCTGAGCGGCAGCGGTGAGTAGGGGCTGGGAGCTTAAGTAGGGGACTTACTCCTCCCACAAATTCAGGCCTAATGGCCTTTCTACATATATATATATATATATAATATATATATGCACCACATATAATGTGTGTATGTATGTGTGTGTGTGTATATATAGATTGTAGCCGTATTAGTCCAGTGATGTAGATGTAAAAAACAGATAAAATTTGTATCTTGTAATACCTTTATATATATATATATATATATATATATATATATATATATATATATATACACTTTATTTCCTATATATGTATAATATATTATAATTAAAACATTTTATAATATAATACACATATAATGCATATATGTGATTTCATTATAAGTGTATTTTGAGATATATGTGTATATATCTCAGAGTACACTTAGAATACAATGATATATAAGAAGGTTCTATTCTCGCCCGGAGCAGCTCAGTTCAGTGTCTTTGGGGCAAGAACTTTTCATACCTTCTGACATGGCACAGGTTAATCACCTCAAATGTATAATGTCTACTCCTAGCTGAATATATATATTTTATTCTGCCCATTCATTGTCCATATTCTACGATCTGCTGCCAAACAGTGAAAGGGTTTCCTGCCATTTTCTATAACTATGACTTAGCAGCTTTGCTGCATTAGCCACAATTCGGAGGATTCAAAATTAAACCATAAATGCTTAAAGTGATGAAGAGGTGTTTC